ATCATATGTTGTTAAGGGAATATTTTTTTTTTTTTTGATACATATGTATAAAGATATATCGTTTCCTTTAAAATAAATTTTTGAAATTTAAAATTTGTTGAAAAGATTCGAATTTCTTATTATCCGTCTCGAGGAGCAGTCGAATTCGAATTACACGAGGAATTACACGGACCTCTTAAGGCGTCGTTAGTCACTGAATTAAGTTCGAGAAACACGAAACCGAAATTCCGCTGGGTTTAACGGAATAATGTTAAACGTGACCCGCGCGGGGCCTCGATTTATGCCACGCTCCATTGTACAATATCTAAACAGATATTTAACCGACCACTGTTCTAGACCTAGATCACGGTTGAACTTGGACAGTCCGAGCCTTTAGTGAAGCGGAGCATTACCGAAATAATACCAACTCTTGGCTAAATCTATGTTTACCCCAGACATCGTGTACTGGACAAAGATTACCTCATCATCGCACTAAGTTTAGGAGATACCAGAAGCTCGATTGCACTTGGCTTAGTTCCTAAACTCTCCGCCCCTCGTCGCTTACGCGAAAATTCAGGTCATCGTTCCGGCACCCGAGGAAAAATAATTTCATCGCGAGTTTAAACGCGGATTCCGTCAACTAACTAAAACTCGAAGAATAAACCGATCCATTAAAACGTTATCGAATGGAACGAGGATAAGTGGAATATTATTTTTTTCTTGTTTCTCCCTCGTGTCGCTATTAATTGGTCGACTAAGAGGAATGCCTAGATGGCGACGAGGAATGCGAATCTAAAGGAACGCGAGGAATCCACGGGCCACGGAAGCGTCTGAAGCGAATGGAGAAGAAAAAAGAAGTTTGCCCGAAGGAAGAAAGAGAAAGAGAGAGAGAGAAGTTCCTCCATCGCGTTGAAATTGGATTAGAAGTCGAAAAATAAACCGGGTTGATGACGAGGAGGATTTCAGAGACAAAGAGGATCGAGATTTTAAAGAGGAGGAAGAGGAAGAGGAGCTTCTCTCCTTCTGTTTTACAACAGGGGTCGAAAAAGAAAAACAGTACGCGTCAAGTGAGACGTCTTCCGCCGCTCAACCCCCGATTCTGAATCGCATTATTCACGAGAGGACAAACCACCAGAAAAATGTCGCGTTCGTTCGCGATTTCCGGTTGCCGGAGCACCGAACAGAACGTCTTCATTTCAAAGTCAAATTTCCGGCAGCGAGAGAGCCGGCGATGCTGTCATTTGTCCTTGAACAACTTTTTTCTCCCTTGTAACTGACACGCGAAAAGGGAGAAAAAGCCATGCCTCTTTTCTTGAACATTGTTTCGAAATATATGCGTCTCTTTCGGGGGAGGAAAAAAGGCTCGTCGCGAAATCGCGTTTCGAGAGGCGTCGCAAAAGAAAACGGATTCGGGAAAGTTCTGCTCGTCGAAAGAATTATTCAGTCAGTTTCCGAATGGCGCATTCATCGCGAACGTCTTAAGGTTAAACGCTCCCTCTTTGATCCGAACCGAGGGAATTATTTCATTTCTTCGAGGCGCTATGGAATAAGACTGAAAAGAGAGAGAGAGAGAGAGAGAGAGAGAGTAGTAACCGGAGAGGAAAAAGGGGGAAGGCTCCTCTTCCTCCAAAGGATACAATTCGCAAACAAGATTTAGTCGGGGTGGATATCGGTGAAAAGGCCGAGAGAAGAAATATCGTCCCGTTTAGTCTGATTCGACGTAATGCAACGGTGTCGACTCTTTTCATTGGGAGGAAAAGTAAAAAAAAAGTAAAGAAGAAAAAATAAAAATCGAATTACGAGGAGGAAAAGGGAGCATTACTTATCCCGCTGGTGTAGCAAAAGAGGAAATACTTTAATCGTGGACCGGGCAACGCGCCCTCAACTCTCGAGCATTATTGTTCCGTGATTCGTTTCTTCGTTGTCTTCCTCTTCCGCCTCGGACGCCAATCTCGAACGGACACGGCGCCTTGCAGAGGTCGCTCCCTTTCCGTCCTTCCAACTTAACTCATTTATCCCGACCCCTCTTTCTCCATGTACTGCCAGGCGCAAGAGGCCTCTCTTTCCTCCTCTCTTTCCCTCCTCTTTTCTATCGCCAAGTCTTTTTTTTCTCCTCTCGTGTCTTTCTTTCTTCCTTTCTTCTTCTTCTTCTTCTTCTTCATTTTCTTCTTCTCGTACAGTCTCGTTTAGTTTCGTCTAGAGAACTTTTTTCATTTTCACTCTCAAGATAGGTGCCCTCCCCTTTTTTCTTTCCCTTTACTCCGCTACTCTTAATTTTTGTGGAAAAATTATAAACATCAAAATGGAAGTATAAACGTATCATAAACATGTACTTATGAGCTAATATCTAGCATCAATTCTGCAATTCTCGGGATAGACAGACGTGGAAAGAGGAAATACCGGCAAAAGGAAGTTGTAAAATTGTAGAGAATTTCTATTCAACGGGAAGCAATTTCGGCGCCAAATTTACACGCCAAACAGCTGAATGGGCCATTGTGCTTGGCTGGAGCCGTTAACAAAAACGGGAAAGAGAAAGAGAAACGGAAAAGAAAACGAGAGGGGAGGAGTAGAGAGATGGATGGAAGAAAATCGTTCGTCTACCCTTTCTCCAAGCTCTCTCTTTCGCTCCCCTCTTTTTCCTCCTGTTCCGTGCCCGTCTGGGGCCGGCAGACGACGGGGCCGACCTTCAATTTCCGGCGAACGAGCCTCGAGCCTGCACGATACACGCCGGCACGAGTCCTGAACGATACCCTCGGTTGCTAACAACTACAAAACACCGGCTAATTGCGCGCGAATCAGGGACACGCCGATGCTACGACGAGGTTAAATTAATTTCCAACTTAATTGCTGCCCGTCCGATTCCCCGCCCGTAATCGAATACCTGACGGCCCGTTAATTGATTTCGCGAGGATTCGTTAGCTTTTTCTCGTGTTTCTCGCGAACACGAGGAAATGGGGATGATTTTTCCATCCTCTCAGTTGGATCGAGCTGGGTATTATTTATTCGATCGTTTGTTCGAGAAGGGTGTCTGTTTGGGCAAGGGATTACCTTGGCCGAATGAAATAAATTTAAATATTGTGGAGTTTCGATAATCTGATGTTGCGGAGGGGATAATAATACTTTGTACTTTGTCTCGTGCGCGTTTCATTTGTGTTATCAATTTCTGGAAATTATTATCTCCTTGCATTTAATTCATGTGACAAATTATTTCAATTTTGATAATTTAATTATACACTTTCATTTCCCATCTTCATCGTTAATTTCAATTCTGGTAACGTCATCGATGAAAAAGAAGCAAATTCATAACATATTCTTCTCACGCTCTTATTACAATATAATCCAAGATCTATCGAAATCACCACGACGTATATCAACGTCGTCCAATTTTCTTCGATCCTATTCCAATCTCATCGATCGTACCACTCCCCAATCACGACGGCGATAAATTTACACAGCCGATTCACGCCGTTGATCCACACCAAACAAAGATCAAAGGTCGACCCACCACCGACTCGTCACCTCTCCTGGACACCTGTACCCGTCCAAGACCAATCCCAAACCTCCTCGAAACCTGCCTCCTCGTGGTCCCCCAGATCCAGGAAAAGGACCGTCGTAAATCATCGCACGGCAGGGCCCCGACGAGAAGAAGAAATCGGCCGGTTTCAAGGGAATTGGAGCGATACCTCACCACGAGCGATAGGGTGGTTGGACGGTGTCGCGAAAAACAAGGAGTCACGTGAACCGACCAATCCGTTAAACAGGAGGCCCCGCCTTGCAAATATTTGCCGCATAAATCTGGCTGGCAAAACGACCGACCCCCGGCGGCGCTCGACATTCCTCTTCGCTCCTCCATATACATATATACACGCGCCAACGTTCCCCGCTGGGAACAGCTTCCGAAACGTACGTTTCTGAATAGGAAACGGGAGTATCGAGATTTGCATACGGGAGCACCTCGCGTTGAGGTGGAAAAACCACGTCTAAGAAGGGTTGAGGCGAGGCACGCGCTTGGAATCGGCCGCTCTGTTTACCGTTATCGATTTATCGGTCGTTCACTAGGTCAATTACGAATTCCAACGGGGGGAAGGGTTAATTTGCTCGTAGGAGGAAATACACGGAATGCTGTCTCTCTCTCGCTCTTTCAGGGATCGAGTAATTGCGGTCGCTTTTAATCGTGCCGAGGCCAAGTTGGGGGTTGTTATTTTTCCACGGCCGGATTACGGATAGTTGGAGGAAGTTGGTTCGTGTTTGGGAAACGATGGTTGTTGGGAAAGTTGATCTTGGACAGCGATGGTCGATGATGGTCGGAGCGGATTGTTTCTGGAACGAAGCAGGGGGGATTAACCACGGCGAAAATTAATCAAGGCTAATCATCGGCCTAAACTTCGGGGAATACGAAGCGGGGATGAATATCAAAAGCTTCTACGATGTTTATATTACGCGTCGCTTTTTTCCTAACCTCACTTTGGGATTGGCTAGGGTTGCTTTGATTACTCCACTTTGTGGAGATCCTTCAAAAATATACTTACGAAACGTCAATAACGTCAATGTTAGTTAAATATTTATAATATTCTAATTAAGATTAGAATCTTCTATCGTCACGATAAATATTATCCAAATTTCCTTCTTGTTTCCTCGATCTCTAAGAAATCATATTACACGCTTTACGCAAATTATAATATCGCAAAAGGGGAAAATAATTCCCTTTACTACGTTTCGGATACTTTTGAACACAATGGTGTACATTCTCAGCCTTTCAAATTACACAATTAAGCCCGAATCACAAATAGAGTGAAGCTAAACACGTACACGAAGAGAAGAGAAAGACTAGGGGGTGCGTGCGTGTAATATACACGGTAGGAAGTCGAGGCGAACGGTATCACCCTTCGTAAACTTGGGATCGACCGGGAATTCCCATTACGTCCCGGCCAATCAAAGATGAAACGTCTCCGCCGCGCGTAGACGGTTTAATAATCCCGCATGTTTGCTCGCCGAAAAGGGGCCCATCCAGGACCCCTCCCCCCTCGCGAGCTCCTCGAACAACGGCATCGAGCCTTCGTTCATATCCGAGGAAGGACCTCGCGGGGACAACCCCTCCCTAATTCGAAATAAACGAGAACTCGTTCCACCCCTCTGCTTCTTCACCCCTCTTCGATTCGAAATTCGCGTACCGTTTTCTTTTTTCTAATGGGAAAAAAGATTTCGTAAGAGAGTTTTATTTCGTCGTTTGATCTCGCGCGTTTTACTCCAATCAAGATTTAGAGATATATTTCCAATATATATCTTTCACAGGCGCGATATCAATGATGAAGATATTTTACTATGGATAAATTTCGTAGAAAAATATTTAACACCTGTTCTCCAAAAATTGAAAAATTAATTAGAAAAGAATTGAACGAAAAAGAAAAAGAGAAAGAAAAGAAGACCCGTCCAATTCCTCGTCTCGTTCGCGACGCGAAAGAAACGCAACGCAACGTATTCAATTAAGAAGAGGAGGGAAGGAAGGCAAATAAAGGTTGGTCGTTGGCGAGGCACGCGTGCCAACGTCGCATTCCATCGCCGTTCCTTCTTCCTTCTTCCTTTTTCGCCGGTTCTGAGCTCGGCCAGCCGAGAATTTCATATGGATGATATACACAGTGGCGCGAGTCACGGTGCCTCGTGGCGCGTCTCGTCGCGCGGATTTTTCTCCACCTCCTCGAACGTTGATTCGATTCGCGAAAGAGACGACGCGGCGCGAGAGAGAAGGAAGGAGAGAGAGAGAGAGAGAACAGGCAGAGGAACTGCTCGAGCGGGGAAACGGATGCGCCTTTAACGTATGGCCGCGTATGAGAGACGACGACGAATGGTATTCGGCGAATAAAAATGTGGACCGAGGGAATAAAAATAACCGGGCGACGTCTTTCTCGACGTTAACGACCCGCTCGATTCCGATTTTCTTTTCTTTCCTTTCCCGATTCGATCAAGCCCGGCTCGATGAGGTCTATTCTTCGCCGTTGAATGGAAGGGAAACCGGAGAAAGAGTCGCGGTAACGCGTGGTGGATGGTGGATCCTGTGCCACGTTTGTCTTCTAGAAACGTTCGAGTTTCCATGAAAGTATATATTCCGTTTCGAGATAGATCGTATCGAATCTCGAGATGGGATTTCAACGTGGGAATATCGGGATACGAAAACGTGCAAGTATCGAGTCTCGTGCTTTTAAGTGTCTTCCAGTATTGGAAAGACACTCGCTTTGTTTCAGAATTTAATTGGAAAAAAAAAAAAAAAGCGAGTGAAAAGTCATCGTTTAGATCGAAATTTTAGAATTGAACTATGATTGATATCCAAATGAAATTTCATTGATCAATCCTAAATTCCAATGATCAACTTGATTTACGATCCCACTAATAATAATCATCAGATTTCAATTCATAGCAAACCATCTCTATATCCACCTCTCGATCTCGATTCTATCCTACGAAACGATACACACCTCTTTCGAACGCTTATAAATTTTCCACCGCCGCGGATTGATCCGATTCCCCTTTTGCGGGGTGAATATGAAAAAGGGGGCCGAGGGTTTGACGGGTTAAAGGAGACGAATTCTTTGTATCGAGATTGACGCGACGGAAGGAAAGAAGGGAGGAAGGAAGGAAGGAAGGAAGGAAGGAAAGCCTGTGGATGGGGGTGATTCGAGGACAAAGTGGGTGAGGGGGAGGGAGCAGTGCACGCGCGAAGAAAGATACAAGGGTGACGCGACCCGACGAAAAGTGTCAGAAGCTGCAAGAGCTGCGTCTTCGAAACGTCGTCGACGTCCTCCTCGTGGAGAGCGTTACAACAGAGAGAAAGAGAGAGAGAAAGAGAAAAAGAGAGAGAGAGAGAGGAGCGCGACGAGGCGCGGCTGGCGGGGAAATGAAGGGCGAAACAAACCGTGAAAACGAGACGAAACCCGGTGGAAATGCAATAAACCGGGCTGACGGACGCCGACGTGATTCCTGAAGCGAGCAACGCGCTTGCAAAGCGAGAACTGACAGGGCGTTAAGCGAAGAAAATCTGATTTGAGCGGTGCCGCGAGTGACACATCCTCGGGGAGAGACCACCATCCTCCTCCTCCTCCTCCTCCTTCTCCCTCTTTTGATAAGTGCCACACGGATCCAACCGATTCTCCGAGCGGACCGGTTCGGTCTGTGGATTAATAACGCGATAGAGCCGGTTGAATGTGCCGTGACAATTCAAATTTTATCATCGAGACGTTCATATTCGCGCTCGGTCGGTTTAACGAATCGGGATACGCGATCGTTTAATTGGCAGTCTGACGTGATTCCGTCCCTCCCCCCTTTCGCGATGAATCGATTCCTCGATAAACGTTTCTCTGCTTAACGATTATTTAAGAAAGTAATTATAGGTGTTCGCGATCTTACGAGCGCGCGTTATTATTTTCGCATGAGAATCGCGAAAAATGGAGTAATCAATATTTGTTAAATTATGAATGTTTCAGAATGCTTATGCTAATTTGTTCTTGCGTGTAATCACGGGTAAAAATTTTACGAAATTCTTCATTTATCGAATTACATAGTAAAAAGGAAGTTCTACTCGATACGTTTATTGAAATAACGAATGCTCGAGAAGGTAATTGCGCGTGAAAGACGATCCAGATACCTGACAAGCACAAAAGTGAAACATCATATCCTACGTATACATCAAATTTCATCGGGAGAATCACTTATATTATCGTATAAACTCGAAGAATATATCATTAAATTTGAACTTATTCTATCATATAACAAACTAAATCCTAAATTGATTATCCTGCCTCGTTTAATTACCAATTCTCGTTAGAAAAGGAAAGATTAATCGCCAAACTTTTGCACCGATATTTCTTAAACGATCCATCTCCGATTATCATCGACACGCATGAAAACGAATTCGAAACAAAATTTCAAACTGGAATGGATGACCAGTTTAAAGAAAGGGAAGGGGAAAAAAGAAAAAATTGAAAAGGACAGCTTCAAAATTGCGGCCACCATCTGGAGCGGGTATTAAATGTCCTTTTAAACCAACTTCCACGTATCGGGTGTCCTTTTAACGCGAGAACCTGTCCCTTTTCGTTCCTCTCTCTCTCTCTCTCTCTC